GGGCTGTGCAAAACCCAACCCTACCCGATTTACCCGACTTACCCGACCGAATAAACCCGACCCGATCCAATAAATCTTACCCGAATGTAATCCGAAGTCCGAACCCGAATTTTATATCGGGTATGGCGGTTTGGGTAGGATCTCAAGATCCTTTACTCGAACTCGCCTAAAATCCGAAAAAGCCAAAAGGTAATTAGGTTTAGGTATGGCGGATTAACGGGCTGTTTACTCGTTAGGCTTTTCCAATTTTCTTCCTGTGTGTCCTGTGTGTGCTGTGACAACCGATGGCGATTAGGCGACGACTAAATACCGAGTTAAAGACAAGTGATGCCCAACGAGTGACCGTCTGACCAACGAGTGACCGTCCGACGAGGTAGTAGCCATTCTTTCTCTCCGGAATCTGGATGCAACTCAGTAACTGTGACTCACTGCCTCTCTCAACAGTTAACTCCAGTCTCAAGTGATCAATTCTCGACTCATTCTTTCAAGTGTTGAAGTCTCTGCCTCAGTGTAACTGTGTAAGCTCTTTGTGATACATTTGATATGATTTGAGATTAATTCAATTATGAAATGGATGAAGCTTTTATAAGAGTTATTATGTTAATGGTTTTTACTAGTTTCATGTCTGAAATTGAATGATCGTTAATTTGTTATAAAAGTAGAATTGGTCATGGTGTTTGTGAATTGGTGATTGTGATAATTTGGTCATGGTGTATGTAAATTGGTGATTGCTAGTTGCTACTGCCTACTGCTACTCAGTCTCAGATAGATAGAAAGTAGAAACTATATGTTGGTGAGTTGGTCATGATAATTTATGTGCCCCTTTTTGGTCAACTAAATCAATAATTAACTGTGTTGTTGTTTGTCTTGAACCTAAATCAACTAAATCAGTAATTTATGTATGCATGTCACCAGTCACCGTGCCTTCTTATGTGTTTGAAACAACTCATCCATCTATCTGCCTGGGACAATAACTGAAATATCAACACAAACTATTCAAAACCAATTAAGTCACTAACTGTGGTTGTGCTGCTATTTGTCATGATTCTCTTGAACCTGATATTAATCAAGTGAAATTGATGACACATGAATACCCTTGATGACTAGTGATTAGTGATTATACAGTTATTAACACTCGGTTGGTTTGTACTCTTGCTATGACGTGGATCCTTTCATGATTTCTAGACCAAAAGAATTTGATCATTGAACCTTAGACATTCTTTCTTGCACGATGATGTTGGAAAGCTAGTTTTAAGCATAATAATTACCACAAGTCAAACAGACGCACTAGCTAGGATGTCAAAGATTCAACTTGAGTCACAACCCACCTTAATGAATCAAGTTGGTGCAAGAAACCATTGCTAGAAACTGTATGTTGGTCTTGGTCATAGTAATATATTTCCTACATAGTGCATACATTGCACTCTTTTACTTTTTTTCTCTATTGCACTCTTTATATATTTATATATATATAGATATATATTTCCTGCATACGCTGCACTCTTTTACTATATATTAGCTCTAACTTACTGCACTGCACATTATAGATGGAAAAAGTTGGCATGTCTCAGTCCGGAAATAACAGTCATCAACCTCCTTCTTTACAATCTAATCCTACCGTAACTCAATCTGTTCCGGAAAGTACAAGGAAAAGGAAAAGGAAAAGGAAAACGTTAGAATCTAGATCACAAGTATGGGACCATTTTGAGAATATTTTAAACGAGGAGGAGGTAGTTATTAAAGGTAAGTTTTTGTACTGTTCAAAAGTATATGCAGCCGAGGCTAAAAAGCATGGTACTTCGTCTTTAAATAGCCATACGCACGCTTGTTTAAATAATCCACATGCTAAGGAAACAAATCAATCCATTCTTGCGTTTCAATCTGCAAAATCCGATGATAGTGATGGTGCTTTGACATCTTGGGTTTTTAACCAAGAGGTTGTTCGAAAGATGTTAGCTAAAATGATTATAATGGATGAATTTCCAGTTAGATTCGTTGAAGGGAGGGGTTTTAAACTGATGAAGCTGCATGCCCTAGATTTAAGATCCCTTCTAGATGGACTGTAAATGATATATTTAGTATTTACTTTGAAGAGAAGACAAATCTTAATAAATTTTTTTAAGTCAAGCACGCAACGCATTAGTTTGACTACTGATACTTGGACATCTGTTGAAGAATCAATTATATGTGTGTCACTGCACATTTTATTGATGATGAGTGGAAACTCAATAAGGTCATCTCGTTTGTGCCTATACATTCACATAAAGGGGAATGTATAGCTAAGGCCATAGAGAGTTCTTTGCTTGATTGGGAAGTAAAAAAAATATTTTCACCATCACAGCTTGGTCATATTTTTTAAGACATTTTATGAGATGACAATTAGAATTTCTGGCTCACTTTATGTCACCTCAAATTCTTTCTTACCCAAGATTTCATATTTGAATAGCATTATTGTCGATATGTTACAATCTAAGTTGAAAGCTGAAGAGGCATGTTTAATTTCCTTCAATTTAACCTTTACTATTTACTTATATTTGGTTGTTTACTGACTTTTTGTTTTTGATTTATGAACAGGAAATGGGTGCTAAAATGAAAGAGAAGTTTAGTAAATATTGGGGTGATCCGGATAAGATGAACTTCATTATATTTTTTGGCAATATATTGAACCCTAGAGACAAGGTTGAGTACATTCAAGTCCAGCTTAATCAAATCTATGGTGAGGATCAAGGTAAGTCATGTTGTGAAAAGGTAAAGTTTAAACTGAATATGTTGTTTCAAGAGTATGTGTCAACATATTCCAAATCTTCTATCACTATGATGTCTCCTCCACCCATTAAGTGTGAGAATGTTCCCGTTGGAATGGTACAATCTAGATTAAAGAGCCAACTAAAGAAACAAAAGATGGAAAGTGGGGCTTTACTCAACAAAAAGAGTGAACTAGAACTTTATCTAAGTGAGTCGACCATAGATGATACAAACGATTTTGATATTTTAAGATGGTGGAAGGTTAACAGTGAAAGATTTCCTATCCTTTTGAAATTGGCTAGAGATGTACTTATTGTTCCAATTTCAATTGTGGCATATGAGTCGAATTTTAGTACTAGTGGTTGGGTCTTAGATAATTTTAGGAGTTCTCTATCTCTTAAAATGGTAAAAGCCCTTATATGTACACAAGACTGGCTAAGAGGCCCTAGTCAGCCAATTGCAGTTGAAGAAAACATAGATGATATTGAAAAGTTTGAGAAAGGTACGACATTAATTATGTATTCAATATTTATGTATTCTTTTTCAACTTGAATTTGTATATTTATATATTATATACTTCTTTTAATTTGTTTATATAAAATTATAAATGCAGAATTGATGAATATGAGAATTGGAAGTTCAAGTTCTGTCACCGACCATGAGGATTCTCTTCCAGTTCCAACAGTTGATGTAGATAATCTAGAGCTAGATGATGTATTGTAGAAGTGGCCACTTTGAAAGGTATTTCTTTGTAGAGCTATATAATATGATATTTGTGGCCCTGAAACTAGAGACATGTGTTGTTTTGGTGCAGATTGTTGAAATGGTGATTTATGGTATGGGGGATGAAGTTAACTTAAAACTTTAAAAGGTTTGTTGTTGTAACATTGTTGGCATGGTCGATGATAAGGCAAATGCACACCCACTTTCCCTTCTTTTTGATTGGAACTTGTAAGTTGTAAGGAACATGTTTTTTATTGTTGTTTGTACTTTGTTGGATATCACATTCACATGAGATGAAAGGCCATATGATTGTATGAATATGATTGGAATTTGGAACTTGGAAGGGACATCTTTTTTATTGTTGTTGGACTTTGCTGTTTTTCATCTTTTTTAACTTGTTGTTTTACTTTTGAATCTGATATGAGATTGTTGTTTGTTTTTTGGTTTTTTAATTTGTTTTTGGATTTTGAACTTCTTGTTGTTGTACTTTACCTGAACCGAACCCGATATGCCCCGAACCCGAGGTGCCCCGAACGCCGAATTGTATGTTACGGGTTAAGGTTTTGTAACCCGATACCCGATCGGGTTAACCCTTTTGGGGTCCGATCTGACCCGACCATTGCACACCCSTAGTCTAAATTATAAAGGTATATATATTTCAGAGAACATAAGTGTCACCAACAGAACCTAAACAAGTATGAGGAAACCACGTAATTTGTCAAATGATGAAAAAAAAAATCCAAGAATGGTTAAAACACCAAGATCAATTATGACCAGAATGTCTTCTGAATATTAACCCACTCTTTTACTTGTATATAATCTTGAGAATTTAATTAAATCCACGACCTTCTAATAAGTATGAAGTATTTTWCTTTGAATAGGTCAGGTAAAATCTCATCTAATGAACCAATACTCACAGGTTTCTAATCTTTGCCGATTAAGGCTAGTAATCCCGGATGTACGTTCATAATATTTGCCCAACAGTCAACGTATTATTTACAAAAAAGAGATTGTATTTAAGGAACACTTGCATATATAACTAGTTATGCTCACAATACACTCGATGTACGGTCAAAAACAGGTCATGTTTATATCACACAAATTGTAATGAATAATACAACATAATGAAATATGGCAATACGAGATTCATATGTAATAAAATTGCGAATAAAAATTAAATGAAACCAGTATATCCCACTTGAAATAAGGACCATGTGMKGCATAATGTACACAGACTTTACCGCCACCTGGAGAGACTGTTTACATGAAAACCCTCGACGACYCGACTTATATATATGGTTTWGAGAAAAAGATTTTATGGGTATCAAAATTGTGATTGGTATGATTAATTATGTTGCTATGATAAAYAAATTTATAGAAAATGCAGTGACAGATTCTTGGAACAGATCGATATTAAATCCATGGTGATGATTTGCCTTTTAAAGGGGCATTAAAAYATGTAATAGAGACCTGTATTTTGTGAATAGATGGGTACAATGAAGTTGAACTCAACAAGATAAGACGATTACAAGGATGTAATCGGCTTTGTGATTGGGATCACATTTTTATATGATGAGTTCAACAAAAGTAATGAACGGTATCATGAAATACCTGARTCCGCACAATTACCATATTTTAGGATAACGTAAGTGAAAAATGAGCTTTAAATTCTAACCTTATTTTAGGAGCAGAAAAGTCTTGAAAACAAGTAGCTATGGCAACCCTGTACGGTATCAAGCAGAGGACTCGTTTGGCATGCTTCATCCATTTCCCGGTTTTTCCATTTCCTCAAAATCTCTTCAGCAACAAAACCAACCTGGTGTTGCAATACAGCAGCAGCAAGCGGTCCGATCAGATTCAGCCTGGTTGCTGCCGATATAATATCTYTCATTGTCACAAACATGAATGCCCTTTGAGATGTTTCACTATCTAACCCGATTAATCCACAAACCARCCCAAAAATTGGGGCATGGTGGAAACAAACATCCCCAGAGCTCAAAGACACATTTCTCATCGTTTTCAGAGACGGAATCTCCAAAAAAAYTGAAGCAGCTACCCTCATTAATGCGGATCCTTGTGAAACCGATGCCTTTCGGCTAACCTCATTAGTTAGTGTTGCATCCAATATGRTGTCGAGCTGGTGCCATGTTTTAAGATTGGGTGAATTAGTTGCTGAGTAAACGAACGGAAGGAGTAGGCTCGCGGTGTTCTCGAGGACGTGAATGACGAACATGCGAAGATCTTCAGGGTGAGAGACGATACGAGCTTGCATTGCAGCCTCGAGACCAAAGGAATGAGCAAAGCCACCRGTAGGGAGAATGGAATCCAGTAACTGCCATTTGCTCCATTGAAGAAGAGGAACTGCTTCAGCTGATGTAGGTTGGGTCCCATTGGTTACAGCTGCTTTATCTTCCATCCCGGAAGAGGAAGGACTCTAAATCTGGCGTGAGAAAGGAACGGATTTGTGTAAGCAAGAGAAAAAGAATTTTTTGTGAAATATAACCAAGGTTCTAAAGGACTTGGGCATGCGTGGCTGCAAGGTCAGACCTAAGTAGGAGCGATAATGTTTTTCTAAGGGGCAGGTGTAAACATATATTATTATCATTATATGTGTACATATAAGATATATATATATGTATATATATATATATATATATACATATATGCAAGGTTCTAAATAGCGTGACGCGTAGTGTGGCGGCAAGGCCAAGCCCCAAGCCTTAAGAGCCCCGGTGAGGCCACTACATTTTTCAAGGCCTGACTTATAGCGGCAAATCTCTATATCATATACAATATTATGTATATATATAAACATATGTTTTCTAGTATTACTCAATGAGTCAATGATATTAAACAATTTAAATTAGGTTATATATTAAAAACTAACAAGACAATAAAAAGGTAAAAAAAAAATCAAATATAGCGTTACAAAAACCATGCATTCGGTCATGGTGTGGCATAGGCTTAACATGGCGTCAAACACAAACCTTGAGCCATGGCATCGATAGCTCCTAAATTACAAATATAGAGATCCATCCACCCTTTCGCTCGTTAAAGACTGCATTAATCTTTTTAGTAAAACCGTGAAACCGGAGTCATAGGTTATACTAACTATAACACATAAATACATTTTTTATTCAAACCCCTCCCTGCGAGAAATTCATTATCATCGATTTCGCCATTGTAACAAAAGGATCCTCTGCAAGATAATTTCTTCAAAAAGTAGAAATTGCTTTTCCTTGATATTCAACTGTTCTAAGTTGTAACAAAGGGAAATCTACTTCCAATAACAATCATCACATCATCATCATATTCATCCAGTGTTTTAGAAACCCACAGCTTCAACTAAGGCCGCTTAATCAAGTTTTCTCAATTTGGAGAGAATCTTTCTAATCTTATTTCTGTAATAATTCAAAAGAGTAACTATATCAAAATAACATAGTATTGAAACTACAATTTTCATGTCGATATAATCAAGAAAAAGATCATATTTTATATATTGAAATGAACCTCTTATCGAATGTGCTCCATCCGATTAGGTGACTAAGCTGAAGATCACTCAACCACCTACCTCCGCTTATTGCTTTTAGAATACTGATGGTACACAAAAAGGTAACATCGAAGCCTATTTTATACCTACTGTCTTATAAATCAAGCTTTTAGGGTGTTGGCTTAACCAAATAAGTCTTAGGTATTCAGTCGACCGCCTAGAGCTGTTTGGAGCTTGTAAACACATGTTCTTTACTTCATAGATTGGAATTTTCTCTCAATCCTTTTAAATCAGCAAGATTTTCTCTATATCTTACTTTCTCTTCTGATTCTGCAGTCCCTCAAACAGTCACCACTTGCAGTACTTCATGTTAACAGAAGAAGAAAGAACACAAGATATTGCAAGGGTAATGGTGTAAAAACTTAAAAAGTTCTTTTCGGCACATTTGTTGTCCTTTTTTATATAAACCTTTCTTATGACAATGAAACCTCAAGATATTACAATGCTAGTAATGCCATGAACACCTTATTGTTCAAAGCTGATATCTGGAAAGTGGTTTTCTTTCACTTTTGTCTCTCTTCCAGTTGCTTCGCCCAATGTATAACCAGTTGTACAGTTTTCACCCCTCGTTAACATTTTCCGTTTGCTACAACGATTTTGCATTACTACTTTTTTCTTTTTAAAAAAGATTTGGTACATGGCATAAACTTTTCATATGCATGGCCATTATAAGAACTTTAATGCCCTCATCAAAATTTTAGATGGAAAAACCCATCAAACTTTGAATTCACAATCCATTTCAATCTTTAACTATAAGATGTTACTAAAAACACAAATGTACCACAATTTTTTTTTCTTCTCCTCCCCTCATTTCCTCCTTTCAATTTTGGCTTCACTATTCATCCAAGCAGTCTTTTTCTAACTTGTAATGCTTCCTCCTTTACATATTCAATAAACGTGTATTTTTCTCCCCTTTTGAAAGGCTAGCCGAATTATCTTCCAAAAAGTTTATGAACACCAACTTGTTCATGAGTACAAGCTACTTTTATCTATATCCATATACATATACATATATATATATATATATATATATCCATTATATCCTCTTTTGATATCCTATTAGCCTACATGGTAAGTTACTTTTGTATTAGATAAATGCGTCACAGGCTCTGTTAATCCCCCATTGCATGGTTGGTTTTAGGTTGGGTTCTTGCTAATAGACATTGATCCAACACTGAATTAATTGATCACATCACATACAATAGTTCTAAAAAGCACTCAAGTGGAACCATAAGATAGATAGATCTTCATCTCACTATAGAAAAAATAAAATAGCAAATGGGAAATGTCAACCAACTAATCTGCAATTATCAATAAACCGTATGCCAGATGTTGGTTTTATCCCAATTTAAATCAAAACAAAACCCTAATTCCCTAAATTAATGTAAAAACAGACAAATTACACCTTCAATTGTATAAGATAAACAAAACAACACTGCCTAAACAAGTTTAAATCCTCAAAATCAGAATCTGGAAGAGAGCAACTTACAGAAAAGATGGATGAAGACGAGAAGAAGTCGCCGCCAAGAAGTTCTTTGACAAAGCTTGACTGCAAGACCCACCCGTCGAGCAGGGACGAAAGGGAATTTCAGGTTGTTGTTAGTATTAGCAGAGCGTCGAGAGAGGCAGATCAAGACCAAAAATGAACGAGGGTTTATCGACCACATCCATACTATATTATAAAGCATTTGTCTAATATAAAACTCTTAAATACAACCTCTATCGTTAATGGTACAACATATTAAAACCAACCCTAAATCCGTTCATACCTAAACGATTTCATCCCTCTCCTATTTCATCGCCAACAGAAACCCAATTCCCTCCCTAATCGATTTCATCCCTATCTGATTTCATCCATTTCATCGCCAACAGATTTTGAAGAATACGGATTCGATTTCATCCCTAACCCAGTTCGATTTCATAAACCCTAAACGATTTCATCACCCTCCCTAAACGATATCATCGCCAACCGTTCAAGTATGCTAACATTGTATATTGGCTGAGGGAAGATATGAAATTATGTGGAATTACATGCCTAAAATGGATTCTCTTGGACTTGACATGATGTTCGTACATGTACCGTTCAGGTGTGCTCTTTTTGATTCAAACTACACTTTGACCTTTTCTAATTTTTTCGTGGTGCAAAATGAAGATTTTGAAAAAGAGAAGTTTCACAATACAGAGATAATTGAGAGTATTCGGTTAGAGATGGAATACAACTGTGATCGTAGATGGTAGGTTTATCTTACCCGATTTTAGTAAACTATGGTCTCTTTTTTAACAGCCTGTGAGAGTGAGATTGATCATTTTTATTATTCCTGCCTTTTCAAGTCCTTTTTGCAAGTTTAGCCCCTGCAGGATGTGACAAATCGTTGATGTCTTTCTTGGTCTCGGCCTTGTGTTTATCATCAATTTGTAGTGGATTTTTGGGAGTCAAAATTGCGTCTTTTCTTGGAATAACATCAGCTGATTACTCAAACCTTCCTTTGGGAATCATGATACAGTTTTTAGCAGCATTGGTGCCAGTATTTTGGATTTATAATGTACCCACTTCACAACCTGCAGATGAGAAGGAAAAGAAGACGCGTTCGAGTAAAAGGAGGAGAAAGACCAGAACGGTTAGAAGAGTAGTGTTGAGTATGGTTTTTGTTTATCGAAGAGAACGAGAATCCTAGGCGCAGAGGAAAAGCTATATGAATCTAAAAGATCTTTAAAAGAATTTGCTGAAGAATGTTGGATGTTTTGTCGAATTAATACATGTCACTAATGTTGAATTAAGTCTCATTTTGTGTTGGATTCTGAAAGATATATTAGGATGTCGAGTTAAGTCTCATTCAAAACATATTCCTCATTTTGTTTAATGACGATGTTGACACATTATTTTTGTAAAATTTGGTCTTGTATGATCTTGTAATTGTTAATCATTTTGAATAAAAATTCACTTAGGATTAGGAATGGCCCAAAAAGTTTATTTAAAATACCATATCTTCAATCCTTGTAACTTATTTTGGATATGTTGCCTTAGAAAAGATTGTCGATAAGATTTATTGTTCAATGGGATCGGATGGTCACTTTTAATCTTATTCCTTACACATATAATTACAATTATAAAGGGGTTTAATATTATACTAATAATTTGATGGTTATTTGAATCTAATTTTGCTACAAATGTTGTAGGCTTATGACATCTTGAAATAATTTGATGTTTTGAAGTTGAATAAATCTTAGTAAACCTTTTAACTCCCGCCGCATTGCGCGGGTACACAACTACTATTATAAAGCATTTGACAAAAACTCTTAAAAACTATTTTTTATGCATAAAGTACTGTTTAGTGATGCATATTACTTAAAATTTAAGATGACAAGTAATTTTGCGTAAGTACAACTTATTAAAGCTTTATTTTAAAATTCGTGTAACTAACTGATGATAAACATAATCAAATACATGATAAACATTCATTTTAAATTTAAAAAATCTAAAATATAATTAAGATAATTATTGAGTTCTAACAAAATGTTTAATTATTATTTTTATAAAAAATCCTTGTAACTTATTTTGGATATATTGCCTTAGAAAACCAAAAATAAATTAATTTGTTATTAAATCTAAATTAAATTATAATAAAAAATTGAATTAAAGAAGTTACACCAAAAAATAAGAACTATTAAATAGTTAATTTGGTACTATTATCGATTTAATTTTTTACAAATTTTTATGATATCTTCAAATTTATATTTTAATTCAAAAATAAAACATTAACGTTTTCTCAAAACCACATAAAATGGTATATTATATTGATAGAAACAAAAAATAAAAACTAAATATTAAAATCAAGATTTATCTCGTTGCATTACACAAATACCCTTCTAGTTGAATTTAAATTATACTCTTTTTTTTATCATAAAAACCAATGGTTTCTTCGGTGTACTTGTTTTATTTTTATTTTACTTCTTAAATACATTCTAGTATAATTTAATGGTCATTGATGGGGTCATACGTGTTCAGTTATTAATTGGGTGGGTATTTGTGTAACGTGATATTTTTTTTAAACCGTGAACAAAAATCTTTTTTATTGTGCAAATTAAATCCCAATCACTTCCAACAACTTTAAAGTCTCCATATGGTGTTTCAGAGGTGGCGTCTCATAAACGTTTTTGTTCGAATAGCCTTGAGGCATGCCTTAAGGTGCATGTCTTTGGCGTTTTTTAAAACAGTTCTAAACGATAATAGTTCTTATAATTATCAAATTATTGTGATTCTCAAATGATTAAATCCCTCTTTCTCTTTCTCTCTCTCTCTCTCTCTCTCTCTCTCTATATATATATATATATATAGTATGGTAGATTCAAATAGAATGTTAAATATCATAAGAAAATAAGATATGGAGATTAAAGAGAGATGCATATGTCAAACTATTGACAAAAGTTGAAATGGCATATGTGAACTCATATGTAATTTGTAATGGTGCTTCACATATGCATATTCAAAGAAAATCTTTTTCGATTTTTTCAATGATTTACATATGAATTTTCATTTCTTATCTTCTTATAATATTTAGACTTCTCATTTAAACTGATATGTGTGTCTTAAGAATAATGGTGAGAGATATTCATTTGTTTCATATATTTTTCTATAAATACATTGAACACAACTATCGAATAAAAACAAAGATCGAAACTACAAATACGGAAACACAATAAGAAAGAATACGTAAATTACGGATAACCAATAAGGCAATGATTGAGCATGATCAATGGAGGCAATAAGGATTGAAAATAGGAGATTCTAATACTCCCCCTCAAATTGGAGCATGTAGGTTTCTAATGTGCAACTTGTCAAGTAAGAACTTAAGTTGTTGAGTGCCTAATCCTTTTGTGAGCAGGTCCACAATTTGCATGCTAGTGTGAATACGTAGGGGCTATAATTCTTGGGATTCAACTCTCTCCCGAACGAAAATAGCAATCCATCTCTACATGCTTGGTTCATTCGTGGAAAACATGGTTATTAGCGATGTGTCTGGATGCCTAATTGTCACAAAAAAGAGGAGTTGGTTCAGTCAAGTCGATGTTTAGCTCCTTGAGAAGCCACCGCATCCATAAAATTTCGCTAACTGTGGAGGCCATGGACCTGTATTCTGTTTGGCAGAGGAACGTGATACCACATTTTGTTTCTTTGTCTTCCATGAAATGGGTGCTCCTCCAAGAAGGAGAAAATATCCCATTCTAGATCTCCTGGTAATAAGGCAGCCACGCCAATCAGAGTCGCAGTATGCGGTGAGATTACAACCACCATCTCGAGGTAAAAGAATTTCTTGCCCAACTGTTCCCTTTAGGTACCGTAACACTCAGTGTGCTGTATCCATGTGACTCTGTCTCGGGTCAGCCACAAATTGGCTTAGCATATTTACCGAGTAAGCAATGTTGGGTCTAGTGGCTTGTAAGTAGAGGAGATGGCCTACCAAGCGGCGGTATCGACTACCATCAACTTTGGATTCTTCATCTTTTTTATCTAATATCAAATTTTGCTCGAAAGGAAATGAGCTTGGTTTACACCCTTGAAGCCCGCAATCTTCAAGGATATCCATAATATACTTTCTTTGGCTTAGAACGAGGCATTCAGGAGTATGAGCAACTTCTATACCAAGAAAGTATTTTAGAGCACTTAAATCTTTGATGCTAAAACGTTTGTCAAGTTCCTCTTTAGTGTATTGTATTTTTTACGTCATTCCCCACCATGATGACATCGTCCACATAGATGAGTGCTGCCACAAAACACGCATCCTTTTTGAAGATGAAAAGTGAGTAATCTGCTTTGCACTACTTAAAACCAAGCTCAAGAAGAGATGATGTAAACTTTTGGTACCAATTTCGGGATGCCTGTTTCAGACCATGGAGAGATTTATTCAACCTGCAAACTCTCGTGTCATTTTCTTTAGCAAAACCTTGTGGCAACTTCATGTAAACTTCTTCGTTTAGATCCCCATGCAAAAAGGCATTATTGACATCTAGTTGGTTGATGATCTATCTTTTCTTGACAGCTACGGCCAGAAGTGTTCTAATAGTAACCAACTTTGCGACCGGGGCGAATGTGTCGTGGTAATCAACCCCCTCCATTTGTGTAAACCCCTTTGCAACAAGACAAGCTTTGAACCGTTCCACCTCTCCATTTGGTTGATATTTTATTTTATAAACCCACTTTGAATCGACATCACGTTTTCCATTTGGAAGATCAACTAGGGTCCATGTGTCGTTYTCTTCAAGAGCTCGTATCTCTTTCTTCATCGCTTCTTTCCATCTTTCGTCCTGGATAGCTTGATTGAAATTCCTTGGCTCATTACTAGAAGTAATGGCCGCTAAAAACGCTTTGTGAGATCCAGAAAACTTCTCATATGACACAAAGTTAGACAAAGGGTGTATCGTTAAGGATGTTTCACTTGGTGCGGGTTTGGCATGGTCGACCGATGGGGGAAGCTTCACGTGATAGTCGCTTAAACGAGCCGGTTGGGACCTATTCCTTTTAACTGTGGTGGGCTCAGGAATATCCGGTTGCGCCTCATTACCGTCGGTGGTCTCTTCTGGTGGGCCTGAGATCTGGCCCAGAATATCTTCGGCTTC